TCTAGGAAGAAGACCCTGGCCCACCGCTTGCCCAAGGCCCCCTGGTGGCCTGGGGTGTCACCGCAGCCCCCTATGCATTGCTGGGCAAAAACCTCCCACTGGCAGCTCTAACAGTGGCGAGCAGACTATTTAGGTACCAGTGGCAGCTTGGCAACGGTCTTCAAGCCCTGGTGAGGCTGCGTTTGCTTGTGGCTTCTTAAACTAAGACTAAGATTCCGATCAAAGTGATCCTTCTCAACCACTCCCCTAGTACAATCCCTGTAAGGGAACAAGTCCAAGAACGGCTTCATTAAGCCAACAATCCTGGAGCGTCTGTAACATTCCTACCGTCTTACTGATCATTTCTTCCTGCATCACATACAATGATGTGCAACTGTTCCAAGGCTCAACAGCAGCAGCAGTTAGCAAGAATGCACAACACGCTCTGGTTTGTAGGTTACTGACCGGATTGCAAAAGATTTGCAGGGCACCAAATGCCCCCCCCCCCCAAACCCTGGGTTTCCAGGTAGCAGATCCTACAGGCGTTTGGGGGAAGTCGGGATTTCCAGTGGCTCCTGCAGGAAGATAGGATGTCCATGAAAGAACCTGACCGGAAACCGCACAAAACTCTACCAGCAACTCCACAGGCGGGAGTGAGCCCACCTGGGCTGGGGCCTGGGCTGGAAAGACCGGAGCCTGGGGTGGGGGGTGGGAGGGGGCGGTCCAGAGGTTCAGCTGCCACTGGCCAGGGGTAGGGATCACTGAGGGGACCCGAGGCGGGCAGTTTGGGAGGAGAGAGGAGGGTGCAGGGGGCGCCAGGCGAGTCCAGAGCCGACCAGGGACCAGGCGTGATGACGGGCCGGGAAGTGGATGGAAGCCCAGGAGGGTCTTCTCTTTTTGGGCGGAGGAGAGTCCTTACCTCCTTGATTTTCTCCCGCTGGGTTTGAACCAGGCTCTGGGGCTCCTCGCTGCCGCGGGTCCGGGTCCCCAGGACCGGGTGGCGCAGGCGGCTCCGGAACGCGTGGAAGTCAAAGCTGAACCGGGGGCTCC